CAAACGTCGGTGCTGGTGATGGTGCTGGTGTCGAGGCCGGCGCAGGCGTCGTCGCGGATCTCGGCGCCGATGCCGATGGCGGGCGAACCCCTCTGCCAGGCCCCCTTGCCTCGCAAAGCGTGCGCGCCCCCTGGCGCGGCGCGCCCGCCCGCCTGCAGCAGCGCCGCCTGGAGCGGCACGCCAAGGAGCCGCTGCAGCGCTGAGGGCGCCTCGAGCGGCTGAGGCGGCACGCTGGGCGTCGTGCCAGGCGCGCGGCCAGTGACCCCTCTGGTGTTCTCCTGGGGTGGCTCGAGCGGCGGAGCGGCGTCGCCCTGGGCAGCGTCGGGGGCGCACCTCTGGGCGGCGGCCGCGGCGGTCGGTGGTCCCCCTGCGTGTCGCCGGGTTGGCGGCGGCGCGGCCCAGGCGGGCCCACAGCGCGGCGGGCCTCCACCAGGCATGGGTGGCGGCGGCAGGCGCGGGCGGCGGGGCCGCGACTCCCCGGGCGGGCGGTGCCTCCATCTCCTCGAAACTGTCCTGTTCCTCGCCTTCCTGGTCGGCGCCATCCTCTCCGTCCTCGATGGTAAGGTCGGCCATGCGGCCGTCGTGCTGGACCTCGACCCTCGGCGCGGGGGTCGCCAGCTCCTCCTCGCAGTAGTACTCGTAGTGCGCGTGGTAGTCGTGAGTGGCCTCGGGCGGCAGCGTCGCCGCGGGAGGCTGTGCAGCCGCCTCAAGAGACAGCTCCACGTCCTCGCTGGTAGCCGTCGCCTGCACAGCTCCCCGAACGAGTTCGGCAGCCGTCGGCCCAGCAAGCTCCTCCGGCGCCGCCACCAGGGATGCCGCGTCGCCGAGCCTCTCGAAGCCCGCTGCGGCGAGATGATCCACGTCGTCATACGCAGTCCCTCTCCGTGGTCTCGGCCCCCTACGCCGAGAGAGGCACGGCGTCCAACCAAGGTGGGCGCCGTGGGCGCGGAGTGCGCCCCGCGAGCCCAGGCGGCGGCCCGCGCGGCGGCCCGTGGGACGCCCGGCGCGGGGTGTCGGCGCCAGCCGCGAGGCGGGGGCCCGGCGGCGCGGGCCAGCCCAGCGGCGGCGGCCGCGCGGCGGCCAAGGCCGGGACCGCGAGCCGGGCGGCGACCAGCAGGGCGGTGGTACCCCGAAGGGGGCCCCCCCTCCCTTCTCTGGACGCCCGAAAAGGGTACGGAAAGAATGGGTACGATGCTCAACAGCAGCTCCTGTTCCTTTTGAACAGGACTCGCTGTCCGCGCCGCCGCGGCCTGTGTCCATTCGAGACAGAAGGCCGCCCGCCCAACAGCGGCCGCTGTTGGTTTGGGACAACATTTGTTGTTGGGCATTGTACCCATTCTTTCCGTACCCATTTCGGGCGTCCAAACCTTCGCGAGGGGGAGCTCGGAGGCGCGCTCTGAGCCAAGAACGGCTGCAGCGCACCCTCTCTCTCTCTCCCGCGAGCCTTCCCCGCGGATTCCCAATTTCTGAGAGCGCTGCACACCGAAGTGCCAACAGTGAGATCGATGGTGATATCGATTGAGTGGGATCGATCGTGAAATCGATCGTGAGATCGATCGTGTGTTCGATAGTGAGATCGAGGTTGATATCGATTGAGTGAGATCGATCGTGAGATCGACAGTTAGGTCGATTGGGAGATCAATAACGATATCGGTAGTGAGAAGGATTGAGTGAGATCGATAGTGACACCGATGATGGTATCGATAGTGATACCGATAGTGCATCGATCGTGAGATCGTTCGTGAGATCGATCGTGAGATCGTTCGTGGGATCGATAATAGTGATATAGTGTGATCGACAGTGAGGTCGATAGTGAGATCGATCGTGAGATCGAAAGTGGGATCGGTAGTGGGATCGATAGTGAGGTCGATTGAGTGCAATGGACGGTGAGATCGATAGTTCCCCAATCAGTGTTTGCAAAGTAGGGGTCCTAGCGGATGTTGAAAGATTTGGTGAAAGTTCGCCGGCCGATTTCGGTGGGCGGCCGGGTTCCCGGGTTCTTGCATGGTGTCGGGTTCCTGGGTTCCGGGTTCCGGGTTCCTCGCCGATTTCGGTGGGCGGCGGGGTTCCCGGGATTTGGCTGATCTTCTTATCGATCGGTCTCACCATCGATCTCTTTACGTACCCACCTCTCTATCGATCTCACTATCGATCTCACTATCGATCTCACTATACATCTCACGAGCGATCTCACGATCGATCTCATTGAATCGTCTTCACTATCGGTCTCACGATCGACCCTACAATCGTTCCCACTATCGATTCCATTATCTATCTCACAGCCGATCTCAATATCCATATCACTAATTGTCAAACCAGCCTCTGATTGGGTTTTTCTCTGGTGTAAGATGAAGTCAATAGTGAGACGGACCGGGAACCCTGGAACCCAGGAGCCCGGGAACCAGAAATTGGAATCCCGGGAACCCCGCCGCCCACCGAACTCCGCCCAGAACCAGCAACCAGGAACTGGGGAACAGGGAACCGGTAACCTGGGAACCCAGCCGCCCACCGAAAAGACCTCGAATTTTCGCCAAGTGTCCCTTCAGTGCAAGCGTTAATTTAGGAAAAAGCACGCACGAAGCCGAACAATGCATTCGGAATGGACGTCCGAGCGATGGCATGCGAACCTCCGCCTGGGGAGGTTTACGTTGACAACGAGAACCTCCCTTGCCCGGTACGGGAACAGTTCCCGTGTCGTGCCGGACGAAGGGGTAGGATATAGGGAAAGGGGGGGGTCCGGAATCTGCTGCATGCAGCTGTGTTTCGCTCCGCCGCCGGGCCCATACCTCGATACATGGGCGCCACGAGGCGCCAGGGGAACCAGCTACGTGATGAATTATCTACCCTATCGTTTGCTATCCTGCCCTTTCGTCCCTGCCGACCGTATGTAGCTGTCCCCAGACCCCCTCGGGTCATGAAAATGTCACGGCGGCAGGTTTTTCTCCGTCTTCTACTTCTCGAAGCCCTAACTGGGCCTCGGGGCCCTCGGGGCCGTCAATAGCGACTCGGGATGGGAAACCGGTCCCGGGTAATGGGTCCAGACTTCTGGAGATCGACGTCACGAACAGATCAAGACGTCGGAGGTCTGGGTCAGGCTTCAGACGCCCTGAAGACGCCGAAAGGCAGAAAGCTGGGCGAACTCACACTTTTGTCTTCTCACTAGCAGGGGTCCAGAGCTCGCAAATCCAGGCCGAAGATTTCGCAGAAGCAGGAATTATCCAGGCCCTATCATTTGCAGTTGTGAGTATCGCCGTTGTGGGTATCGCCCTCGGTGGATCTCCTTCTGGGGCCACGACTGTAAAGGGTGAGCCGAGATGGGGCGGGGACGCATGCGGGCGCAACCATTGGGGCCTTCGGTGGCGCCCTATCTGGGGCCACGAAACGTTTGAAGGGTGTGCCGGAATGAAGCGGGGCCGCCATGCGAACGTGGCCATTGGGGCCTTCGGAGGCGTCCCCTATGGGGCCACGAAGCGCGTGAAGGGTATGCGGGCATGGGCGGGGGTTTCATGCGAACGTCGCCACTGGGGCCTTCGGAGCTCCGTATAGGCCACGAAGCGCGTGAGGAGTGTGGCGAAATGGGCGGGGGAGACGCATGTAATCACAGCCACTGGGGCCTTCGGTGGAGCTCCCTATGGGGCCACGAAGCGCCGCACTGGGTGGCGCGGGACGCATGTGGTCACAGCCACTGGAGCCTTCAGTGGAGCTCCATATGGGACCACGAAACGCCGTGCTGGGAGTCGCGGGACGCATGTGGTCACAGCCACTGGGACCTTCGGTGGAGCCCCCTCTGGGGCCCCGAAGCGCTGCTCTGGGCTGTGGAACCGCATGCGGACTGCGTCACTGAGACCTTCGGTGGAACTCCCCATGAGGCCACGAAACGTTGCACTGGGCGGGGGGACCGCATGCGAACTGCGCCACTGGGACCTTCGGTGGAGCCCCCTCTGGGGCCACGAAACGCTGTACTGGGTGGGGGAACCGCATGCGGACTGCGCCACTGGGACCTTCGGTGGAGCCCCCTCTGGGGCCACGGAACGCTGTACAGGGCGGGGGAATTGCATGTGGATTGTCACGTTGGGACCTTCGGTGGAGCCCCTTCTGGGGCCACGAAACGCTGTCTTGTGCGGGGGAACCGCACGCGGACTGCGCCACTGGGACATTCGGTAGAGCTCCCTCTGGGGTCGCGAAATGTTTAACTGGGCGGGGGAACTGCATGCGGACTGCGCCACTGTGACTTTCTGTGGAGCTCCTTATGGGGCCACGAATGGCTGTAGTTACTGGGCGGGGGAGCCGCATGCGGACTGCGCAACTGGGACCTTTGGTGGAGCCCCATCTGGGGCCACGAAGCGTTGTACTGGGCGGGAGAACCGCATGCGGACTGCGCCACTGGGACCTTCGATGACCTTGTGTGGGGCTCCCTCTGGGGCCACGGAACGCTGTACAGGGCGAGGGATTTGCATGCGGATTGTGACGTTGGGACCTTCGGTGGAGCTTCCTCTGGGGCCACGAAACGCTGTACTGGGCGGGGGAACCGCATGCGGACTGCGCCACTGGGACCTTCGGTGGAGCTCCCTCTGGGGCCACGAAACATGTGAGAGGTGTGCCAAAGTGAGGGGGGTGACGGGAGGAGGGGGGAGCGGGAGGAGAGGAGAGGAGAGTTGAGGAGGAACGCGGGGCATTGTCTCTTCAAAACGAGGACCCAGCACCACAGGATGGTTGGGAATGTTTGCTTGGTGTGCAAAACAGGTCCCAGGGAAGGGGTCCAGACCCTTGGGGGTCGACGAGGACCACAACCCACAACCCACAACCCACACCCAGCCAGGAGCCCCACTCCCGACCTGGTGATCCAGGGGGTCCTGGCCAGCTGGTAGATCTCTCATCTCACAAAGGCAGCGGGGACGACCCTCCTCCTCTTCCTCCTCCTGCCCATCCTCCCTCTCCTCCTTCTCTGGCGTCCATTTGCAGGTGTGCCTTCTCCTCCTTGCCCTTCTCCTGCCCTTTCCGTACATTTGCAGGCGCCCATCCTCCATTTCTTCACCTCCGCATCGATTTTGGCACAACCAAGCCGCATCTCAGCGCATCCGTATCTTTCTTCTTATATCACAGGACATTCACTCGACCTTGCAGTTTTACATCCAGCCATGGTCCATGTTAGTGCCCACCTTCTGGTCGTACTGCACCTGCTTCCGACCCTCGCGATCGGCGTCTGGAGGCACGCCAGTGCGAGTGAGAAGCTGGAGGGAAGTGCGGCAAGGACCGCAGCGTGCAACGCCCCTCGCGGGGACAGAAACCGATGCAAGTGGGGCGCGTCGATCTGGCGAGCTGGGCGAGAGTCTTAGCAGCAACGCCAGCACCAGCAGCATGAGGGGGAGCTCGAAAAGTGTAAACGGAGGAGGGGGAAGAAGGTGAATCGTCAACCTTCCTTCCCTTCATTCGCTATACGTTGCAGTCTTCTCTCGTGTCCCTCTCCCCGTGTTTCTCCTTTATTATTTTCCTCCCCAGGAGAGCTGAGCGAACAGACCGGCAGGCCAGTGCGGCCGAGAGGCTCGAGGGAGGTTCCGCAAGGGCAGCGCGAACAGAACGGCTCGCCAGTGCATCCCAGAGGCTTGAGGCAGGCTCGGGCAAAGCGGGACGAAGTGCGACGACAGCACGAACGGTGCGCTTCAGCACGCTGGAGGGTGGCCAGGATAACAAGGCCGCCCTGGGCAAGATGAACAGGATGGGCGTGACCCGGTACAAGCGCCAGGCCCACCACAAGAAGACCAAGAGAAAGGATGGCAAGTTCTTCTGGCCCGACCCCGCCAATCGCGAGGCCACGGTCTACTCTGGCGCCACGGACCTGTTGGAGAATATCTCCTGGGGCTGGCACCACCCGACTGGCGTGTATAGCACCATCCCCGTCGGCAGCCCACTCTTCGACGACGAGCAGAACATCTACCTCGGATCCGACGACGCCATCCGGAAGTTCGACATCACGGGCACCCTCTTGTGGAGCTACGCCCCCCGAGGCCAGCTCGCTGCGGCGCCCACCTTGGTCCTCGCAAGCAGCAGGCACCGTGAATCGACCTAAACGCTGTGTTTGGGCGATTACGTAGGCCGTTTCCACTTCGATTGCAGCAAAGTCAGATCGGAAACAACATGAGGGAAAGTGAAAACAAAAGGAAAACGAATTAGCTTGGCGAAGATCCTAACCCCTTTCAAACACGAGGCGGCTACAAGCAGGACCGTTCAATGCATGAGAATACATAGAGGGACCTGCAGCAAGCCTGAACGATTCGCAAGATACCTGACTATGGTGCCACGAAGCGTGTGAAGGGTGTCTGGGAAACGGTCGGGAGGCAGTATGAGAACGGTACCACTGGGACATTCGGTGGAGCTCCTTGAGGGCCACGAAACGTATGAGGGGTGTGCCAGAATGGTCGGGGGGCGGTATGCGAACGCTGCCACCGGGGCCTTTGGTGGAGCTCCCTGGGGGCCACGGAGCGTGTAAGGGGTGTGCCGAAATAGTCGGGGGGCGGTATGCGAACGTTGTCAGTGGGGCCTTCGGTTGAGCTCCCTGGGAGCCACGAAGCGTGTGAGGGGTGTGCCGAAGTGGTCGAGGGCGGTATGCGAACGCTGCCGCTTGGGCATTCGGTGGAGCTTCCTGGGGGTCACGAAGCGTGTGAGGGGTGTGCCGAAATGGTCGGGGGGCGGTATGCGACCGTTGCCATAGGGGCCTTCGGTGGAGCTCCCTGGGGGCCACGCAACGTGTGAGGGGTGTGCCGAAATGGTCGGGGGGGCGGTATGCGAACGCTGCCACTGCGGTCTTTGGTGGAGCTCCCTGGGGGCCACGAGGCGTGTGAGGGGTGTGCCGAAATGGTCGGGGGGGCGGTATGTAATACAGATCACAATATCCCTCCCACCAGTACTTGATGCAAGCACAAAGCAGAAAAGATAAGATCTATTTACCTCCGTACTCAAAGCAGTCGTGAGTAGGTGCGTCCACCCTCCCGCCCAGCTTATGAGCCACAACGGCCATTGGCGGAAGGGAAAGATAATTCATTATCATCCTAAATCTCACATCCTCGCCTATTTGATTTCCACACAGGAAAAGAAACTGATGCTAAAGAATGCGTAGCACATTCTGAAGCAAGCCTCCAGAATATTCATGGATATGCACTTGTCGGCTCGACCAGCCAAAAGCTGCCCGTACACCGAACAACAACTATCAAGATCTCACATCAAATCTTGAACAACAAATATCAATATATTCGATCTAATCTTCAGCAACAAAATGCGAAGATATCAAATCAAACCTTGATGCAAGCATCATCCAACCACTTGAGAGGGTGCACTCATCATCTCTTCACGTGAGAGGGTGCACACACAATATCCTCACTCAACCAACGCATACACAAAGTTGGTAGTACATCTCAATACACTCTTTTCCACCACCCAACGTCAACACAAAGTTGGTAGTGAAATCTCAATGCAATCTCTCCACTATCCAATATCAACACAAAGTTGGTAGTGACATCTCAGCGTACCTGAGCTGACTTGATGGTGCTATAGGCGATAGAAGTCTTGGTACTCTGATCCAGACTGTAGCTCCTGCTCTCGTCTGCGTCCAGCTTCAGACTCCGGCCCAAGCAGTTGGCGTAGTGCTTGTCCTTGCTGTATATGTCTGCGAAGCTGCTGCCATCGTATTTGCCACTCTTGATGCGCATCAGTCCCAATGTAGCCAACCATTGCCTCAGGAGAGCACTGTCCCCCAGGTAGATCTGTCCATCCTCCGTGATCTCATCGGAATACGTCTCCACCTCAGCCTCAGCCTTCAGGCGTAGTGTAGCTGTCTTGAGTTTTGCCTGTTTGGGCACCTCCGCCCTGAAAATGCGGTCGTTGCTTAAACTGTCCACCTCCATCGGTGCCATACCGAAATCCTCCTCGTCACTCTGCTTAGGCTGCATTATGCAGATAAACATGATAACTCCCGCAATGATAGAGACTAACGTCACCACCGTAGGAGACATCGAAAGACAAACTCCATACACTGCGAGTGCACAGAACTGAAGCAGAACTGCAACTTGGTCAGGTATCTGGATGGTTCGCTGCGCGCCACTCCTGTCCATTGGGTAGTTGTCCCTCGCATCTTCCATGTAGAGTGTTTCGACACACTCGTTCTCGTCATAGTTCTTGTCCTTGTCATCGTAGAAGCACTCGTCCACATAGTTGTACGTCTCCACCGGCCAGGTAGATATCTCATCGTTCCCATCGGTGTCGTCGTACAGTTCCTGCTTGACGTATTTAGCCATCTTCGCGTTCAGGTCGTCGACCTCCTTCTTGGCTGCCACCTTCTCTGGTCCAACGAACTTTCGCCCGCGTATCGATGGTGCTCTGTCATCAGGCCCAAGAGTCCACAAGTTAGATATCACAATCTTCCTCGCGCAGCCTCCTGGAAGCACTTTCGCCAAACAGTCCGCTAGCATCTGCTCGCTCTTGACCCACTTGATGCTGACCTCCTTTAGTGACTGACGTAGTATAGCCGCCTCCAGAGAAATCCTCCTATCCGTCATAGATACCTTCTCTTTCGTGATCGTGTCATACAGGCTCTTGCAGTCGGTCACCGAAATGCATTTCACCGGGCAGATGTCATGCACGATCTCGGCCGCATCCATCTTTGGGTGCAGGATCTCCGCTAAGGGTGACCTTGTCCAAATCAACATATCCACCGAATCTGCACATGAGTATGCCTCCGCCGATAGAGTAGATCGCACCAGTCGTTGAATCTTCGAAGACTGCCACCCAATGCAATGTACCTTGTACTTGTTGCCGTGGTTCTCATTGACCTTCTCGCCACCTATCATGATGAAGTGTCCTCGTTGCGATCTGTGCTTCGGCAGTTTGTCGAAAGCATTGTCGGTCACGTTGATCACCGTGGTCTTCCACAGGTTCAGACCAGCTGAGAACTTGATCAGTAAGTCGTCCCGCTTCTGGATTATCCTGGTAGCTGCATTCCCATCCTGTAGATCCTTCACCGTCGAAGCTCCCAGCGTTGATGCCAATCGGGATGCCTCGAACGCTTCTTCGAAGCAAATCATTCGCGCAGCACACTGCAGTTGTCCAACCACCATTCGTAGTCCTCGATGCTCTGCAGGGGTCAGTGCACTGTCAGGTGCTTTGCTGCGCTCCCTGGAGACACGCACAGTCTGCATAGACTTCACATAGGCCTCCATGGTGACGTTGATGCTGCCGTCCTTGTCTTGCTGATAGGCCTGGCCACAGAACGTCGCCTCTCCTGCCTCGCGTACTTGACCTCGCCAAAGTCAATCTCCTTCTGCAGGTCCTTCATGATCTTGGCGCCCTCAGGGTCGTCCTGCTTGGTGCCTATGAGGAAGTCGTCCAAGTGTGGACACATGATCCCGATGATCGTGTTCTCCTCGTTGCGCTTGATGAAGGTCGCGGGCTCGAAGCTCAGGCCTTCCCATCCAAGCTTCACGAGCGTCTCGCGCAGTGCCATGTACCAAGCTCTTGCCGCATCGTTGGTCCCGTAGATGCTCTTGTAGAGCTTCAGGAGGTCGCCTGCCTTAACACCTGTGATGGTACACTTCCCAAGGTTCGTCGGGATCCGAAAGTAGAGCTCGCGTGTGATCGCCTTGCCTTGTAGAGAGGCTCCCTTCATGTCTGCAACGACTAGGTCCAAGTTGAGGCTCGATACGATGCTGCACAGAAGTAGCGTCATCTGTGCTGAGACTGTAGGAGAGTCTCGACGTAGCTTGTCGTCGAACTCCTCCTCGTAGCCCCTTCCACATATTCTCGCCTTCGGCTCAAAGGTCGTAGGGTCCTTGTCCGTCCAGACCACCTTGGAGCTTAGGATCTTGTCTTGGTCTATCTTCTCAACCGCTGCTCCTGATATGTGGGTTGCTGCATCGCGCTTGCACCAGGTATTCCGCTCCTTCTCCACTGCACTCTGCATCTTCTTCCACTTGAGCTTGTCGTCGCCCAGCGTCTTCAGGATGATCTCCTGATGCTTGGTAGCCCTCGTCGGCTGGGTTCACATCCGCTCGGCCACGAATGCTTCAACCAGGAGTGGTGTCTCCGCCAGCTGCTTGACTGGTCCCGTCTGCCCCTTCGCACGCTTGATGCTGATGGGCACGTCGTCCAGCAGGAACTCCTTAAGCGTCACGGGATGTTCCTGGCGCTTTTTGCCCTGATGCTGCTCCGGCTGTCTTGTACTCGATGCTGTTGTCCCTTGCTGATCTTCCTTTGCTGGTGTTGGTGTTGCTGCCGTCTCCTCTGCCTTCTTGCGTTCTTCCATATGTCTCTGGATACTGGCAGGTACTTGGAGCTGAGCTCGGTCGTCGTGAGCATCGTCCTCCTTGGTCTGCTTGAGTTTCAGGTCCTTCTTGACCGAATGCTTCTTACCACCACGTTTCACCTCCTTGGGCTGCTCTGGCTCCTCCATGATCTCGTCAGTGTTGCCACCACTTGGAGGTCCAGGCTGTGAGGCTGCAGGTTGTTGGTCACCTCCCGGTCCATCTTCAGTTCCTTCTTCCTTCATCGATGTGATTTCCTCGATGACCGTGATCGGTTGCTGTGCCACCACATCGTCGATGATCTGAGGGTTAGCTAGCCAGTCCACCCTCGAGATGTCCTGAACCAGGTCGCGTGTGTCCAGATTGAACAGCCGCCTCCTCTCGATCTGGTACCTGGTGCCGGTTCGGGTAGTAGAGGTGCATTCCTGATGTTGTCCAGTTGCCTCAGGTCGGTCTTGCCCTTGCTGCTGGATGCCACTGCTCCCAGGATGGTGTCCCAGGCTTGGTGTGCTCGACGTAGTCGCGCTCGTAAATCCTCCTCTGCATTGGTCCTGATCAACTGGTACTGGTTCGTACTCATCGTCCAGCTTCTGCCGCATCGGCATCACGTCATTGTCGTGCACCACATCCGATCGTCTCTTTCTGCTGTCCGACTGCTTCGGATGACCCACACCACCTTGAGCTGGTTCTGCTCCTGGTGTGTCTGGTTGTCCTTGCACTGACTGCTGTTGTGGAGCTTCTTGCTGTCCAGGTAGCTGC